GAGGCACTGTGCATATCCTGTTAGACTTGCCCCCACTTACGGTTGCCGGTCTGGTCCAACACGAACTTGGTCCACTTATCCATATTCAACAGCCATGCATCAAGACTGCTTATCCTATCGTTGAATTTAGACTGAGAAAGATATAACCATAAAGCATGTAACGCTCATGTCTGCCGTGGTTGTTATTACCAAGTCAAGTTCCATCCTTCTCTTTACTTTGTTGGCAGTAGCCTATGACAATACACTGATGATTCCCCTACCCTATCATCATCATCACTCACCACATCATCATTAACCTGCTCTGCTCCTGATATCATATCCCGTAGTAAATTGTTGAGCTCTACCGAGGCCTCGTTATTGGACACCTACCCAGTGCTCCACTCTGTCGTTTGTCCTCACCATACGGCTCACCAAGCATGCTTGTCGGCTCTTCTCATTGTTCTCCTGTTGTATTCGCGTCGACTGTATATTGTAATGGGTCCGGTTAAGCTAGAAAGAGAGCCGAATAGGCGGCTATAATGAACTGAGTCCAATCAGCACCTCATCCCAATGGCCAGTCTCTATCCTCTGCACACCATGTAGTTGACTCTTTATTGATGTCTCAATGGTATCCAACCGTGCCGCCATACTATTCCTAAGAACACCCTTAGCATAACAACAACAAGAACCATAGTAGCTAGACTCACCCATTCTTCGCCAACTGTTCAGCAGTCATTAATACTGTCCCGGAGTCAGTAGTCGGACTGGAGGCATTAGAGTCTGTATCGGTTGGTTGGACACTCAGAGACAGCTGACTGTTAGATACTGTGTTGACGAGATCAGCAAGGACGGCCCTAGAGGGATGGGAGGTGCCAGCTGGAGATTGCGAATGACTTCAGCTTATTACATATCATCGCCACCTCCTCCCCTGCCTCCGTCTCCGCTTGTCACGGCCTTGTTGGAAGAGAGGGTTATCGCTTCCACTGTGAGGAGGCTAGTCAGGTACATAAACACTCGATGGCATCTCCTTATGGCCCCAGGCCTACTCCGAGGCATACACAAGTAATGGCTGAGAGAACACGAAGCTCCAGAAACGAGGCCATCCCATAACGCAGAAGTAAACTTGGTAAGAAACATGAACGGTTAAGGGCCAGCTGCATTGGACTCGACCCATACATGACGAATGGAGAAGTCATGATGAATGATCACACCCGAGATTATCTAGAGATCATCAAGAGCACCAAAGATACTGAAGGCATACCATATCTCGGCCCTGACCATGTCGCACGCTTTCTCCCTGACTCCTCAGCAATCTGCTACGTTTATGGTGATACTTCCCCACTCATTACAGCCTCTACGTCATTATCAAGATTCGTCAGCTGTATAGATCCCCATCAAAGAGAGAACCTGTTCTTGATACCATGCCAGGTATATTGATAGTCATCACTGATGGTACTCCGATCACTTCAGCGATCAGTTCGTGCATGAGGTTGGCGACTAGGTTGGCATCAGCATCGACACGTTGGAAACCTCGCTGTTATCAACTTCCGTTTCCGACAAGACTTAGACGCTTCTAATCGGGAGTCCAACTTGCCATCATAAGGGCTCTTACAAATGCTCTTCTGCACCCATCTCATCTCTGGTAGTTCCCTCTTGAACGTCCTCTAACGCCTCTGATGCTTTCTAACCCCTCAGAGATTCTCCAGACGATAAGATTATATATATCATAGTGCTAGTGTTTCGGCCTTGATCACCTACATCACGACCAACATAACGCCTATTACATAGCAGCATCAGGTCATCACTTCGCCTCCGCCCTTAACACAGGATTGGAACTTACAAACTGCTCGAACCATCATTTGACAATCCACTTAACTAACCAGTAAGAGTAAAATAATCCCATCAGCCCTCCCTCCACAGTCTCATGTACTGCCATATCCAACGCTAACGCTTGTAGAGTAGATACAGTCCTGTCTACTTGAGCGGCAGCTTACCCATATCGTTATGACTAACATATAAGGTTCCCTCATCCATCATCGATGGAGGCAGACAGCCATGTACTACGAAGTCCACCCTACTCAAGCGTAGGTGGCGGCTTAATCCGGCTCAGAGGCTCTGCAGCTTCCTTTCCACCGACCAGCAACCTTCAACCAGAAAGGCCGTTGAGCCAATTTGAGGGAGAATTACTACTTTACCTAGTCAGATCCTGCTGAGCGTAACACACGGCGAATCGCACCGATCGCCCAAGTCTGACTTTTCGGGCGCGCGCTAAAATCTCCGCGCAGTTCTAAGTTGGAACAGCACAACATCTTCTCGATCAGTGGAAACACGGATAGAGGGGCGAAGGAACGAAAATCGACAATACGGGCAAACCCCAGCCACTCGGTGGAGGCGGATGGGTAAGTTTAATAAACCTTCCTCAGTCGAATGAGAAGGTTCGGTATTAGCCATGTATTTTCGTCGGAGCCTCAGTCGGGGCCGACCGAGCAGGAGGGACAGTCATTGTGTTAGAGGCTGCTGCCCTAGCAGTCCATCTGTTTAGCTTCGTTTCCTTCAAGTTTGTCCTTCATCGAGTGTGACCAGTGGTCTTGCTAACGGTTGGAGAGACTGATGACGATCGTGGTCATTTATATGTATTTTCGGAAGAGCACAAATGTCGTGGAAGTAGTTAGTTCCATTTTAC